CCAACAACGCACCAAAGACAGCTCGCAGACACCTCGCAGACAGGTCACCGAGCTCAGAAAAATATCTAGCATGCTAGATATCTCGAGCAGTCGCGCGACTCAATCTCAGTGATGTCATGAGTACAGCCAATCATAGCAACGCATGGGTTGAGGACACCAGGTAAATCTTACTTTTTCTTTTCTTTTTTGCATTTTTTTTTCTCAGAGCAGATCGTCGAGCAAACAGTGTGCAGCACTAGTTTCTGTCTGACGTCCATATTCGCGTGTTGTGTTCTTCTCTGCAGTTTCGCGTCATTTCTGGTTCGTTTTATTGCGTGGTTTTTCGTGACAAAACATGGTTTCTAGACCAGATAGAATCGTGTTGTTGTCAACTCGTTATTTGTTTGATTATTTTCAGGATTTAGACCGTACTATAGTACTGAAACAGCTTGAGTCACAAATGATATGCTCTTATCATCCGATCGTGGTCTATGTAGTGCGTTGTTAACTCGTGTAGTGAGTTACCTCCTGTTGTTACACTCATGATTTCACTGAGAGCAAGTCATGTAGTGTGAACCGCACAGTTCAGCCCGACATTTTAAAATCATGTAGTGTGAACTAATTGGACAACTAATATAAAGAATAGTTTTTCTGCTGCTCAATTAATAAAAAAAAAACAATATCTCAAATAAATACTAGCATACTGAATCAAGATACTATAAGCTGGCTAACGTTAGTCTAATGTTATGTATTTGAACACCATCATTATAACTCTACAACCGCCAAAACCGTGTTAAAAAATTTAAGTAAAAAATATTTTAATATCATAGAGAATGTTTAAATATTAATATCAGCTGAGGAGGGAAACGGAGGCGGAGTGAGTGGTGCGATCGGAGGCTTCTACTACTGGAGATGAATCGGGAGAGGTTTGTGCACCTACTGATCAGAGCGCGTGCTGTCTCGGAGTAAAGCCTTGTTTATACTCGACACGTCCGCACGAGCGCGAATGTGCGCACGGCAAAAATGACGCGTTGGGTGCGCAAGACCAGGAAGACTGTGGCTGGCTGTGTGTACGCCTTTTTTTGTAACAGCGCACGCGGCGCCGCGTCCGGGAATGACTTCAAGCCGAATCTGCCCGAGCTTGTACGTCTCACCACACCGGCACCCAGTTTGCGCATCTAAATTGCAAATTTTTTTCTTAAGGGTTTGTTTACTGTGTGTGATTCATTTAATGGATAGCACATTCACTTCTAGTTGTCTTTGTCCTCTATTCTGCAATGTTTCGGTCTCCCACGTGTGTGTGGCAAGCTGTACCGCCGGGAACATGCAAAAAATAAATAAATAAATAAAGAAGCGTCGACGCAAGAATATGACGTCGACGCAATTTTGACGTCGAATCATCGACGTCATCGACGCGCCGCTACAGCACTACTCTAATCATAATTACTTCCCCTCCTCTTACTGCTACATCGTGTTTACTGACTCGTGGGCGGGGCAACCTGTCATTTACATGAGATCCACCAATAGTCAAGTCACCTTCATTTATTATAGCGCTTTTAATAACATGGACTGTTTCAAAGCAGCTTTACAGTGATAGTAGGAAATTAAAGTAACAGAACAAACCACAACCATCCAATCAACTCCTGATGTACAAAATCAATTCCCATCCTGCATTTTTTTCTTGTTTCGTTTCAATCAGATATACGTGACAATTGGGAAAGAAAAGACAAACACAACTTCCTTTTCAGGTCGACTTTAAGTGGGTAACAATACCCTTAAAAAGTTTATTTAATCCTATCTACAGGAATATATCCTGAAAAAAAATGATGTATTATTATGCATGTAAATTCAGCTCTAGAAGTCCCAGTGCTGTATTTACACATTGTAAACTGATAAATATTCTTCACACCATGTTTTGAGTAGAGAAACCGAACCAATTGATTGAATATTTATCCTCTCCAAAAACATCAAGCTTCTCCAAGCTGTAAAAATTCCACCAAAATGCACAGTCACACACCTTGACGCTTGCCAATTATTTAGCATTAACACTACGGCATTATCCACCCTGACATTAGGCGTGTCCCTTACTTATATGTGCATATGCATGCATTAGAGTCATGATGTGCAATTTAGACAATTATTTAAAAACCCATCCTTATGCATGGTAGGAATAATAATGATGAAAGTCATTACTAGAGGCTAATTCCCCTCGGAGTGTCTGAAAGGGGGCGCAGACGTCACAGGAGAGATCACACCTGCCGACTGGACAGTGCTTTAATACCATCTGACAAGATCTGAGCGGGTGATTGATGTCTGTGCTCTGTCTATGTGTGCGCTCTCAGACAACCACAGCACACCTTTGGCATATAATATCTCATATAATATGGGCTCGTTTATCTGAATGCATAAATATAATCCTGGAAATATAATTATAAATCCAAATGTGTTTTTTTTTGTGTGCAAAATGTGATATTCACGGGTAACAAGGAAACTGTCAAATATAGCGTTACCCGTATATAATTGGACATTGGCATTTTTAAATTTAGATTCATAGCACGATATTCCGAATTTAGCATTTACACACATCACTATAAATGTAATTGAATATATAAATGTATGCTAAATTCTGAAATTATTTTTCTATTAATTCTGATATTATTCTAAAATATATACATATTTAGAACAATATATTGGGGGTAAAAATCATGATTTTATATATATATATATATATATATATATATTAGATCATTATAAATACAAATGTATATTTTAATAAATCACTGAAAAAAACATCAATACTGGTAGTGCTAAAAATATGAATATATAAATGTTGGCTAAACTCTGAATATGTTGCTATTAATCAATATCTAAACGTAGGTAAATATATATTTATATATTGAGTTGCTCTGCAAAAAAAATATAGATTAATCCTTATTAAGCTAAAGTGGTTCGGTCAAAGCAGTGAGTGGTTTTTGATTAACATTAGTAAAACAGTGTGCAGCGAGTTTATTAGGCTCCTGTCACTTTAAGACCTGACGCATGATGTGTATCTGACATGATGTTTTCACATTACTTTACTGTCTTTTAAGACTTTTTTGTGCTCACAAGAATACGACATCATCGGCAACGGCATTTTGACTTAATTTTGTGACTTTCTGTCCATTCAAGTGTGAAAGAAAACTCAATGCGTTATTAGTGCATGAAGCGGCTTTCTGTGCATGTGTTTTTGGTGAGATAACAGCAAAAACACATGCATGCTCTTTTGCGTCTTGTAGCTTTTGATAGGTTTAAAAGTACTTGAATGAATGATAGCGTGATCATATAATCATGTAATGTTAGCCAAAGGATGCCAGGAAACAATGGATGATGCGTTAATGGCGTTAAATATTACTAACAGGATATAATGAAGAATAAAAATGAATTGCAAAATGAACACGTTAAAATATATATATTTAAATTGCATAAATCTGCAAAACAGCAACCGCCCCCTCCCCACTGTAATACTGATGAATAATTGATGTTCTTTAATACAATAATGGTGTTACCTGGTTAAACATGGCTTTTATTCCCAAAAATGTGAGTTGTAAACACTAGCTCCTTTATTCTAATCCACTCAATAGGCTCACAATGTCATGACTGCAAGAATGTTAATTTCAGATGTATTTAAAATATTTAAGTATGGACTTATGGGTCAGCTGGCATAAATTCCTCCGAAGAAATGAGATTCAACCTTTCCCTGAAAGCTAAACGTAGGTTATATAACATTTTTACACCTCAGCTTCTATTTGCATTTGAATTCTAATGGACGAGAGAGCATACATATAATATTTGTATTGTTTATTGCTTGTGGCATTTCTTTAGATCCCATAGGAATATAAAGAAACCACATATTCTCTAGAAAACACAACATTTGATTTAAATTGGCATTGTTCTTGGACTGTCTTTGGGAGTGTGAATGTAGTCTTGATTGCCAAAGGATGGTCAAATGTGTGAATAAGATACAAGAATCTATTGCAAGGACTGGTAACACTTTATTCAGTTGCCCACTTTAGACATTCTGCTAACTACCAGTTATTTGACTATTAGTAATCTGTCTGCTTAAAGGATTAGTTCACTTTTGAAAAAACTTTTGCTGATAATTTACTCACCCCCATGTCATCCAAGATGTCCATGTCTTTCTTTCCTCAGTCGAAACGAAATTAAGGTTTTTGATGAAAACATTCCTGGATTTTTCTCCATATAATGGACTTACATGGGAACCAGACGGTCCGAGGTCCAAACGACAGTTAATAACAGTTTCAGATGCAGCTTCAAATGTCTTTAAACGACACCAGACGATGAATAAGGGTCTTATCATGCGAAACGATCGGTTACTTCAAAACTTATTTCAAAAATTTAACTTTTCTAAGGACAAATGCTAGCCATGCTATATTCTGTGAGGCGCGTTTGCAAGGTCACGTAATACGTAATTACGTTCAAAAGGTCACGGGCGACGTAGCCGGAAGTACAGAATCAAAATCGTCCGACATCGTTGTTTTACCTTTTAATTCCTTTTTTGTAAACGCCGTTTGAGTTAGTTTGCACGTTCAACCTATGCGTTCAACTTGTAAACACTCTGACTCTGTACTTCTGGCTACGTCGCCCATGACCTTTTGAACGTAATTACGTATTACGTGACGTTACAACGCGCCTCACAGAATGGAGCAAGGCTAGCATTTGTCCTTAGAAAAGTTACATTTTTGGAATAAGCTTTGAAATAACCGATCGTTTCGCATGATAAGACCCTTATTCATCGTCTGGTGTCGTTTAAAGACATTTGAAGCTGCATCTGAAACTGTTATTAAACGTCGTTTGGACCTTGGACCGTCTGGTTCCCATGGAAGTCCATTATATGGAGAAAAATGCTGGAATGTTTTCATCAAAAACCTTAATTTCTTTTTGACTGAGGAAAGAAAGACATGGACATCTTGGATGACATGGGGGTGAGTAAATTATCAGCAACAGTTTTTTCAAAAGTGAACTAATCCTTTAATATCTGCTAAGACTTTATTTTGATGCTGACATTCTACTGACTAGACGTAACTTTGCAACTACTTGTTTACTAAAACATGTACTACAACAAACTTATTCTACTAACCTGAACCCTAACACCTAAACGTACCACCTACTACTGAGAGTTAGTTGACAATAGTTGCTAGTAGAATATCTAAAGTGGACGATCGAAATAAAGTATAACCCATGGATTTAACATTGCATCTTAAAGAATGTGCTTTTCCATTCGTATCACATTGATCCTGGCCAGTTTTGAGACCAAATGGTTAGGATGTATGTAGCTGTGCTCGGATTTCACAGCGAAGCCAAGTTTGCGGAAAATGGAAATGGCCGCGGTCTGTGGGGAGCTGATCTCTACGACCACCCGAGAAAGTCCCTGCTCTTTACAGAACTCTACGGCTGTCTCTACCAGCTGGGTTCCCAGACCTTTCCGTCGCTGGTGGTAGGACACGGTTAACTGAAACACCTCCGCTGTCGCTGCATCGTCTGCGTTCCACCCATCCTTCGAAACGCCACCCTTCTCACCAACTACAGCCAGCAGCCCGGACACTTTCCACTTCCCGTTCACCTCAACCTCCGCCACCCAGAAATGATTCAGCTGGTTATCCAAGAACTTGGCCTGAATATCTGCCATTTCCACATCCATCTTCGCCTTGAGGAAGCTGTCGTAAATTTGGTGGCAGCAATAGTAAACCAAGCAAGCCCAAGCTCCTCCGAATAGCAAGGCCTGGAAGTACGAGCTCCCTCCGAGCACATATCCGGCCACGGAGACGCTCAGGGTCACGCCGATGTGGTCCGGATGACTCATGGCTTTGAAGAAGGATGGGTAGACATGCTCCAGAATACCAAAGCGGAAGAGAGAGACAATAGCAGACTTATCTGTGGGCTTGTAGGGCCGGATTACACTCGGCACTGCAAGATAGGAAAGAGACAGGGATTCAATTGGATGCTGACTGAACAACGTCTGCTGAAAGTCTGGCAGATTTATTGGCAGAAGAAAGAAAGTGCAGAAAGAACCCTTGTAATTAAAACTTGGGTTATCGTCCTTAACTAAAGAAGCTAAAACAAAATAAAGCAGAATACAACTTAAACTTATTTTATTCCAGCACCAAGGCAACATTTCTCGTTTTCATTTAGTTTAAGATGAACTAACTAAACTAAACACACACAAAAAATAATACTACACATTTATAGACCATTTTGCAAGATATAAACAACAGAAGCACTTCCTGTTTCAGTTTTTTAACACTACATAAAAGCTGGGATAAAATACAACCAACAGAACATATAAAACTGAATCAAAAAGTTAAACAAAGATCTTTAAGATGTTTTCTTTACATGTGAAATAAAGAAAACAGTTACAAACTGAAACAGGAAGTGTTTCTGGACCAGTGTTGTTTACATCTTGCAAAATGGTCTATAATAAACTAAAATTTAAATGAAAACAAAAAACTAAATAAAATCTAAATTAAAATATTATAAAACTATTTAAAAATGACTTATCAAACATACTAAATAATGTTGATTAAAAGACATAAATCGTACAAAATCATTTCTTTGTGCTTCACATATTATCACCTGAAAAGAGTATTTGAAGCTACGAATTTGCACATGCCGGCAAAACATTTCAAAACCGAAAGAAAAAAAAAACTTAATCAGATATGATTCTGTGAATAGCAAATAGCAAATTTCTTTTCTATTTTTCCTTAAAACAATGTAAAGAACGAAAGAAAGACAAACAAAATACCCTATCATTTAAACGAGAAAAAAAACCTAAAAAAAAAACAATTAAAACAATTAAAAAAAAAAAACAATTAAAAAAATTAATTGGAATAAATGATTTGGTAAACAATCAACAAACTTCATACATTATAATAAAGAAATTTTTACATTTGGAAAACATGTCGTTTGGTGTGAATTTACAAGCAGACTAACAGAACCATCACCCGCTCATTAATCTAAGAAATTACATATTGTTCCACAACATTGCAATTTTAAATAATTCACCAAAGCACAAGTTATTCCACTCCTTGCTAACTTTGAGACACCTCGCACAACACTTTCCCACAGATAAAATGCTTACTTACAGCTAGTCTTCATCGCTGCAGCTTGCTGTACTTCACTCTCAAACGCTCTACCTCCTTTCTTCCTCACTCACTCGATGAACTTTAGCCACAGTATTGGGACAAATACCCATTATAGGGCAGCTTAGGGGAAGAAATAGTGCATTTTCAGCCCCACACACACACGTGCATTGGAATTCCAATGCGTTATGGGGACTTAACATTATACTGCACAAAATTTACATTCAATCCCATAGACACAACCCTCACAGAAACTTTCAGTTGTAATCATCATTCAAACGATTTATAAGCTGTTTATAGACCATTTCACAAGATGTAAACAAGACTGGTCCAGAAGCACTTCCTGTTTCAGTTTTCTTTATTTCACATGTAAAGAAAACATCTTAAAGATGTTTGTTTAACTTTTTGATTCAGTTTTATATGTTCTGTTGGTTGTATTTTATCCCCGCTTTTATGTAGTGTTAAAAAACTGAAACAGGAAGTGTTTCTGGACCAGTGTTGTTTACATCTTGTGAAATGGTCTATAAAAAATGTCCCCGCAACATAGGGTTTACCAGAATCAAATAGACACACACAAACACTCTAGAGAGATAGAGAGTCAGCCTCTAGTATTGAATAAAATCAGATCTAATCTTGGCCTGACTGTGTAATGAGGTCCTCATATGGCTGGCTGGATCAGTGATCTGCATATCTCTATGACTTTGTAGGACTGAACCGTTTTGTCCACTAAATGTGACTGGGGTTTTAATCGCGAAAGCCCAGATTAGAGTGACGGTGTCACTTAATATGAGCTGTTAAAGATACATCACTGCCAGCTCTTCACACTGGCTGAAATTGCTTTCTCCATGAGAGGCATTGGCCGGGGTGCAATTATATTGCCTTTTTACTGCTTAATAGACATGGCTTCACAAACAGATTCCTCATTGAGTAAAAATAATAGCACAAGTTGGGAAATAATGACAGAATATTCATATTTTGGGGGTTGAATGGTCTGTTTAAGCATAAATTATGAAAATCAGCGGATAGGTGATTTTCGTGAATGATGTGGCTTCTAGGGCAATGGCAATGACTCAGAAAGTATTCGAATGCTTCTTGGGCCTTCAGCGCCGTATAATTTAAATGAGAAATGCTTTAGTTCGGTCTGTGGTGCCACAGACCCATAACTTACATCTGATTGCTTGTCACTCATTCAGACTGCATTTTACAGAGGACAGATTGCTCTCCGACCCAATGCATTTCATTCAGTAACCAGTGCGCATGTCTTACATTATAGACATTCTCTATGTGACAACTAGCCCCGGTCTTGCTATACCTCAATAAAACTAATATGTTCTAAGAACATTTTGCTAATGTTTCAGTTAGGTTATTAAGTTGTTATTTTGGGTTATTCTCTGAATGTTCAAAATGTTTTAAAAACTTTCTTCTTAGTTAGGTGAACGTTAAGGAAACATTACATTTCAATCATTTCACATAATGGGAATGATATTTTTGAATGTTCTCTGAAAGTTCTAAAACAAACAGTAACATTAAAAAAATGTTAGATGAATGTCCAATGTTTTGAGAACATTATTAAAGACCAGATAAATAAGCTCTTGAGTCAAAATTCTGACATTTCGTTACTTAATGATAAAAGGTAATGATAAAAGGGGTGTGTATAAGACTGACATGACAACTTCATAATCATGACATGACATGTTTTATGCATGTTTATGACAAGTGTCATTCGCTCAATTATGACATTTTTAATGCAAATATGACATTGTTTGTTATGACAACTTGACACCTGTCATAAATAAGTCATAAACATGACATAGACGATTAATTAAACTTAAACTGCTATTAAACATGCTATTAAATAAACTTAAACCACTTAGCTTTATTGGTAAAGTGAAGTGAAGTCCCCTTCAAGTAAAGTGTTACCGAATAGAAAACTCGATTAAATGGGAAGTTCCATTGTGACAACTTACCCCGTAGATTGTGACAACATGCCCCTGGGTGTTAAACCAAAGTTTCTTCTTATTTTTGCAGCCAAGACTTAAGTTATATATCTATACAGAAACTAACTCACTAATTTAACTTATTCTGAGAAATATTGACTAGCCCCGGTCTCCTCTACATTATTCATTAAGACTCCACTACCACAGATTGCATCTCTTTTATGCAGATCTCACCTCAAGAAAAAAATTATCTTTGATTGACTCGTATTAGAAATAACCGGATGAAAAACCGCACTCTCAAGTTATATCTCATATATTTATTAATGCAATGTCCACACAGACGTGTTTCAGCCTAAGCCGTCATCAGTGTGTGATGTTAGAATCATATTAGAAATCCCACATTTTTACGAGCCAAAGATTAATTTTCACTTCCTAGATTCACACATGTGAAGAGTGATATATCTGCACGGTCAATATTAGCTCAGTTTCCACAGTTTGACATACGCTGTACAGTAGGCCTGCCTGCCCTGTTAAAAGATTTAACGTTACCTTTCACCTCCATTTATAAGCGCATAAGATCTCAAAATCTCACTGGAATAAATACAAGCAATTGCTGTTAAGCTTTGATGGCATTTTACAAACCCTTTCTGCTTTCTGAATGTATCCCCAATATATTTATGTTCAGAAATCCAATGACATATTTATGAGGACAACCAATTTCAACATCGCAAATGCACCTTGTTTTTCTTTTTCTTTCTATGGCCCGCAAGAGAGCTGAGGTTATTTACAGAGAGTCTTAAAGCTCATTGCTGCCGTAGCTCCTTATAAACCATATTTCGCATATATCTCTCTTTGATTATGATTTACGTGAACCCTCGACACAAACATCATCTTTTGTTTCTCATCGTAACAGTGTCGTACGATGCTGTTATTGTGACCTTGAGGCAGTTCACTCAACGCCTGGATCTCCACACATTTATTCTGTTCTTGACACTCGAATCAAGTGGATTTGAAGGAATAGGTCACGTCAAAATAAAATGAAAATTCTCTCTAGTTACTCGCATTGAAAATCCCTGCAAACTTTCTTTACGTTTTTTCTTTTGCGGAAAACAAAAGGAGTTTTCCCCACATCTATCAATGGGGATAGACATGTTAAACATGAAGTAGTTTACTTCTATTCAGCATTATTTACTTCAACTAAGAATAATTCTTTACACAAAGTTCTCTATTCCAGGACAAATATAGTGAAAAATAATGAGTGCATCTTAGAAGATCAGAGTTTGATGCCTTTGCATTTCAGGACAGTCAACATTTGGTAAACAGCAGGATGCTTTTAATTTTCTCCCAAGATTTCAGTTGGTGCAAAACTCATTAACTACCCAAAAAATAATTAGCTCTCCAGGAAAGAAAGAAAAGAAAGACCCAGAGGGGGGAAAAGCATTCAAAGTTTTTCTATTGTGTGAATCAGTATTTTTAGAAGGGTTTATTCAAGTGTCAAGAAAGAAGTGAAGGGAAGATCCACGTGTTTACTGGGAACTGGTAACTGGTAGAGAGGAACGTTTTATAGAGATAGATCACCTAAAAGTGAATATTTAATCATTTACTCATCCTCATGTTGTTTCCAAACCTGTATGAAATAAATGTTTGTAGACTACATGTCAAACTTTTTAAATGTACTTACAAGTCTGGAGCTTAAGAAGCATAAAGAAGTGTCATAAAAGCAGCCATGAGCCTGAAAAAATAGGTTCTTCTAAGAATGCTTTGCTAATAACTTTCAGAGAACATTACCAGAAGCTTCCCTGTTAGCTGCGATAATGCATATATGTCTTTCCTTATTATTGTTATTATGAAAACTTCATGACCAGATGGAAATTTAAGTTGCCGTTCTGTGACTGCAACATTGCATCCGAATGAATCATTCAGACTGGTTTTGTGAACCAATGATTCATTAAAAAGATTGAACTCAAAAGAACAATTTGGTCATAAATTGAACATTGCTTCTTGTGTTACAAACTCGTCATGAACTTATGAATGATAAAATGCATCAAGGAGAGAGAACGCGGATGTCAAGATTTTCAGTGAATAAGACTCTTTAGGTCTACGTCATTATAAAACATTAGTGCATGAGTCATTAGGTTCATTTTTTATGATACTCTTGATGGTCCTTTTGCATTTTTTGAAGCAAATTGTTAGCAACTTATAGGTTAATTTAAAGTCTCTTCACATAATGTTAACAACAGACATTATTTTACATACAAATGGAAAACAGCTATTACTGTATAAAAGCTGTGATTTCCTCATGCAGACACACTAAAATATAGACAAATAAAGTCTAAAAATAAAGACAGAAACTGTTCTCCCTTTAATGTTAAAACGGAGTCAGTCAAGGAAGAGTATGGACATATACGTATGTTCCACTAACATTTGACAATCAGAAAGTGTCGCAGTATAAAACACGAACAGTACATGTATTGTTTTTAAAACTGAAATAATAGATTCAATTAGATATTTTATTATATAATGCAATGGCATTCAGAAATGTATTTTCTGAGGCCGTTATGGCAACCAAACATGCAGTGATATACTATTATTTGTTGGCGAATGAGCCTGTGAAATGTTGAATTATGGCATTTGTTTTTGATATGTAAGCAGCACAGGCTGTTGTGACAGCGTCTTGAACAATAAACCTGTGGATGTCAGGCAAGATTGAATTTCCTCTGAGGTGAGACCGCTCCTTACACCTGCATGAATCAATAACACCCCTCATGAATTGCCGACGAAGACGAGGGTCAAGGCACTCTTGATGTTTTTTTTGTAGAATAACTTAAAGCATGTCAATGAATTTGGAATTTCACACTGGTGACCCTCTTTATCCCGGTAACCTTCAATCAGATCATGATCAAATCAAGTTTTGGTGAGGGTTTCCTTTGCCGGGAACAAAGGCAGTGATTAAAAGTCATGAGCAAAAGTCTCAGTTTGACCTCCAAGTAAACTTCTTGTCATCTAAGGGAAGCATTAGAGGGATTAAAGATATCTCACTTGTCTTTTTCACCCCTGTCCAATTGGTTGAAGGCTTTTTCTTGTAATATTCAATATGCTTATGAAAACTAATTTGATATTTATATAAAATGTTGTAATCTTTGAAAATGGGTTTGATTCTCCATCTAGAGAATGATTTGATCAAAAAAAAATGCATTATAATTAAACTTTAAAACCTCCTCTTCTGATGCAATTGTGAACAAAAAAGCAAGTTATTATAAATAATTCAGCAGCCGCCTTTAATAGCTGACATAAACGTCG